TACTAATTGTTCAGGATAGGTCAAACTCTAATGAAATATAACGACTGCTTGAGCAATATTATCATTTTTAAAAGTTTCACTTTAATACMACTTTGTTTATTTTCGTTGCTTTAAATATGGAATAGTTGGTTGAGTACTGTRMAAAACCTCATGTGGTCTCTTCTTGGTATTGAAAAACTGAGTCAACTTCAATCAAACGACCTGCCATCCGATGTTCTTGCTAAAGTACTGTATGGTTTGTTCTTATCAATGGCTGTGGTGATGATGATGAATATGATGATAGCTCTKCTGTCCAACACATACCAACAGGTTGAGGTAAATTTATTGCTATGTTAATTTGGTATATTTGTATTTCATCGTTCGCTCCTTTCCGCAGACAAACACTTAATTTTGTTCTTTTGGGATTTTTCAGGATAATGCGTTTTATGAATGGTCGTACAGGAAAGCAACAACAATAAGGACCTATGTTAACTACCATCCTGTCCCTGTACCGTTCAATATCATCTCTCTCACTTGGATGTTCATAAGACATATTTACCACAGACTCTGCAGTAAAAAATCCTCCAAGATGAGAAATTCTAAGACTTACTCAAAGGTAATAGCGTTGGCGAGGGAACACGTCTCTTAACATTAGTGTAATAAATCACACGGAGTCCTTCGGTCCAGACAAACTACAAGCAATTTATTAGTAATGTGCTAAAGCTATTTATTCTTACACAGTAACCTTTGGGAATTGAATTGAAGTAAATATACGATCATAATATCATGAATATACATAACAATTAGGAAGTTAGAATAAATGATCAAAAAAACTAACCCCATCTTGCAAACACAGTGAGCCGCCCTCCCCCCGTCTTTACCCTTTGCACATACCAGTTACATGTATATTACTAAACTTGGTCTGTTTATTTTAACAGTTTTTTGACTGCCTTGTTCACGACCTTGAAGCTGACTATCTTGCTGCATATGGTTATAAATTTCCATTGACAGGTACGACGAGAAGGAAGAAATAGGCTTCCCAGKTTTCTATTATAGAAGTCTTTCTTTGTAAATGCCTTCATTGAAAATGGWAGCCATATCGATCTACACTACGCAATTCAAATATATATAGTTATAAAAAAAACCTGCTCAGTAACTGAAAGTTTTGTTATTCAGTCATCCAAACGCAGAGACAATGTTAAGTAAAAAAAGAAAAAAGAAAAAAAAAACAAATTCCTAGAAAATTATATTAATATCTTGTCAAAATACTTTGCTTCGTGATTATAGGACCGTTATTGATAAGAAGTTTGTGTCATTTCCAGTGTTCTGCCATTTATTATCCAAGTAGCC